GAAATACATATATTTAATTTCTCTATTTCAGTTTTGAATAATAATGTCTTTATGTGTACTGGGATTTTAAGTGGATATTATTTCTCCTACCTAATTATTTCAAATTGTAATTCTGGATTTGCTCAACTAATATATGGCTTTACATTTGTATTTAATGTATGTTAAGTAATAGCTATCCTAAATGGAGCACAGGATAGCTCCATAATTAGGGCCTGTATTACATGCTGTCATAGGTTTTATTGCTCAGATTATGACTTTAATTATAAATGTAAGCTTTGATACTTTTGGGATTAGAGGTCATTTGACTTAGTGCTATGTCATTTTTAAGAGCTTAAGATCTAATATTTAAAACTCCCAGCTGATGAGCACCTATGAGCTGGCATTGTAATATTGGGTTGATGCTTTATTTTTTATTTTGGTATTCTAAATCATATTGTAAAAGTTTATAGTGTATATGAGGAGTCTGGACTATATGTTGTAAATTAGCAGCTCAATTGTTCATCTGGCCGCTCTTCTGTCTGTCTGTCTGTCTGTCTCTACACACTCCCCCTCCCCATTGTTTCTAACCTCATTCTGGAATGGTTCACAATGATGTTAATCCTCCAAACAAATGGAAGTGCTTAGACCAGTTTTATCCCTGTAGAAGTAATCTCCCGAGAAAAGGTCTTCAATCAGTGGAATTTGAAAACAGTGTCGTATTTTATTGGGAAGTTATTTTGTGTGGGTTGTATCATGTAACCAAATAGGTGCTTCCTGCAGACCTTTTATTCTGGTCTTTTATATTTTCTTCACCTTACAGGTGTGGCATATGTAAAGTAATCTTTGAAGTTTTTGTTGCTTATATTTTGGGTGAAAGAATGGGCTTCAGTCACACACATCCAGGAAATTTGTTGGCTGACTTTCTTTAATTGTACGCTCAGACCTGTCGCTGTCTTAAAGACAGCTACGGTTTGTGTATATGTCTAGATAGATATTCCTAGAATACAATGTTAACAAAATTTTCACTTTTCTAGAAATACTTGAGAATTTATTTTAAAAGTGCCGTTAAAATAATTTTGAAGCTCTATTAAAATGTAAGGAATTCCCTGTAGAAATAATCATAAAAGATAAAAGTAGAAAATTTGCTCTTTTGTGTCTCATAGATACTTTATAAGTTTTTGTCAAAGAATTTTTTTTCCTAAAAGGACTTCTACCTTTATAGATAGCCTTTCATTTAATCCTCACTCAACCGTGTAAAATATATTTTCTGTTTTACAGATAAGGAAACTAAACTTAGTAAACAGTAAAGGTGTGAAGTCTAGGACAGAATCTCAAGGTGATCCTGTGCTCTCCATTTCTTGCCCTTCTGTTGACTGCAGTTCTACTCAGACCCATTTGCTTGGCTTCCCCCTGGTTCCTCTGCATACTCCTTCCCCCTGGTTCCTCTGCATACTCCTTCCCCCTGGTTCCTCTGCATACTCCTTCCCTCTGGTTCCTCTGCATACTCCTTCTCTGGTTCCTCTGCATACTCCTTCTCTGGCGTCATCATATTCCTTCTTGCTAAAGGGTCCTTGCATTTACTGCTTCTTTGAGTGGGATGCTTTTTTGCAGACATTTTCTTTGCTGGTCTCCTGTACCTCCTTTGAATATTCTTTCTCAAATCAATCTCAAGCAATCTATTCCCTCTCTCCCTCCCTCCCTCTTTTTTGTTGTTTTTGAGACAGGGTTTCTCTGTGTAACAGTTCTGGCTGTCTTTGATTTTGCTTCATAGACCAGGTTGGCCTCGAACTCACAGAGATCTGCCTGCCCATGGCATGCGCCATCACATCTGGCCTCAAATTTCTCTTTTCAGGTGAATTCTATGCTCAAAACTCTACCTCCCAGCTCCAGCATATGTAGTCTGCTTTGTCTCATGCACTATTACCCCCAAACATGTATCATATAATGTAATAGATATATTTATTATTTTTAGTCATCTCCCTCCCTACCTCCCCTGGAATGTAATGGTTAGGAGTAATACAACATCTCTAGCCCTAGCTGGCCTTGAACTTGAAGAAATCTGCCTGACTCTGCCTCCTGGGTAGTGGGGTTTAAAGGCATGTGCCACCATGCTGAACTTAGGTTAGGGTTTCTGTGTCTGTGAATTTCCTTGATAAGTGTACAGTGGCTATTTAGTGAGTGGGTGAATGAATGAGTACATAGGTTATCTGCAGCCAGGCCCCGCCTCTTCCGTGGGTGCAGGAGGTGGAATTTGAGTCTTCACACTTTCAAAATAAGCCGTTTCCTTAGCCCACTGTTTAGTCTCTTTATTTTTAATTTTAAAAATTATTCTTTTTATTTTTGGTGTATGTTGTTTTACATTGATGTATAAATATGTACTATGTGCATGCTTGCTACGTGATCAGGCCTGAAGGTGTCAGGTCTCACAGAACTGGAGTTACAGACAATGAGCCACCATGTGGATGCTAGGAATCAAACCTGGGTCCCTTGCAAGAGTATCAAGTGCTTATTACTGCTGAGCCATCTCTCTAGCCCCTCCCCCAGTATTTATTCTTAAAAGTCATCTAGTTTTTAATCATTTGAATGCAGTTTTAGAAAACGAGGCAGTATTTTACTTGATGTTAATAGGAAGAGACAGTTTTATGTAAGCTGGCCTTCTCTACTTTTTACATTCATAAATTTGTATCATTAAAAATTAACATAGTTTTAAAATTTGTGCTTCAGGACTACACATTAAAATAGTTTTCTCTCTTAAATATGTTACTTATATTTTCCTCTATTCTTTAGTATAATTTTCTTTCTAGAGGAAAAAAATTTAAGTTAAAATTAAAAATTAAGTTACATGGGGGTAATAAAGTTCAGTATGTCTACTTGAATGTGGCTAGCCAACTTGCACCAGGGATCCCCTGTCTCTGCCTCCAGTGTGCTGGGATTACCAACACTTCCCTGCCTGCCATGGGTTCTGGGGATTCCAACTCCAGTTTTCATGCTTGCACAGCAAGTACTTTATCCACTGAGCCACCCTCCAGCTCAGCAAGCTCCAGGAAGTCACATACGCAAATGCTGCTGGCGCCTCTATCCTTGGAAATAAGCCCTCAGGAAATGAATTAATAGTGGAGACACTAACCTTGTAAGTAAGGGGCTTTGGTGGCTTATGTCCTGTGGTGAGTTGGTAACAGCAAAGTAATTTATACCTATAATTAGAGGTTGAAGAACTTAACAGTATTTCATTTCTTGTGCCGTCAAGCTTCAGTAATTACCTTGACATTAAAAGGTGAAGTTTACAAAGTGTCGGGAATAAAAATATTTGTCAGTAGTGTGTGTGTCCACAGACTTATGTCCGCATCTATTTTTTTCCTGTTTATTCTGTTACAAATATAGTGTCAGAGCAACACAGAGGCCTCACAGCAGGATTTTGCTGCCTAGGTCACTCTAGTGTGTGGTTACAGTAGTGACCTTTGGATTTTGTTTATAAATTAGACCACATGTGTTGGCTTTGTGGAAGAAAACTGAAGAGCTCCAGGAAAGAATAATAAACACATGCTCATTATCTAAAGGAGTAATAAATAATAAATAATAAGTATGATTTGAGAACTAAGCTAGATCATCTCTATTATTCATTTGTTTAAGACTAGTTGTAGGCTTTTCAGTTTTACAACATACTGGTATTTGAAGGAAGGCCAGTGTAACTCTTCTTAAAGAATTCAGTAATCCTGACAGTGAGCAGATTCTAGTCTAGTAATGATGGCGGTGGTTAGTGACTATTATTTGTCACAGCCACCACCGCCACCCCTCTTGTGGGCCCTGGGATAAGACTTTGGGTGGGAGGAGGCAGGAACTAAGCCCTTACTTATTAGCGATGTTGATTGTGATGTTGGGCAAGTTTCTCAACTGTTCTGGACACCAGTTTCTTCAACTGCAGTAGTGGTAGTGGCTGCTCAATGGACATTCTGGGAGTTAGAAGTTTAATACATGCATTGTAATGGTAAGTGTCCTTTATTACAGCGCTGGCCCCTCTCTTGTGTCTGGACAATTCCATATGGCTCTTTTAGTTTTCTGTGGCTAATGGCCGTGTGTTCAGGGTTTTGGTAGTATTGTTTTTGTGTAAGCCATTCTATGAGCTAAATTTTGAAGCTATATAGAAAAGTGGGCACTAGTATCAAAAAAGCATTTTGAAAGCTTCCCACTAGATTGGCAAGAGTTCTGAATGCAGCCAACGCTGCCTTCAGCTTTTATGACTGAGGCCAAGAAGAAAAGGTTTCACTGGTGTAGATTTTTTCAGGGCCCTTCCTTGGCTAAAGAGACTGAAAGTTTTCACCATGGCCCTAAACAAACAAACCAAAGCGGTTTCAGAGGTGAAGGGAATAAAAGGATTTTAAAGTTCTTGCTTTAACAACAGTGAGTTTCAGCCTTGACTACACATGAAATCATCTAAAATTCTTTTTATGAAATGAAAATGCCTAACAGTAGAAGTGATAACGGCACCCACTACCATCTCCATCAACAGCCAATTTGAATACACAAGTAAAAATTGGAGGTGAAGGATGCAGTACTCCCCACGAGGCAGGGAACCCTGACTGCTCTTAGGACTGGATGGGGGGGGGGAGGAGGGGGAGGGAAAAGGGAGGTGGGGCAGGGGTGTAAATTTTTAATAATGATGATGATGATGATGATAATAATAATAATAATAATAAAAAAGAATGCAGTACTTTAGTTACCAGTCTGGTTTTGGATTAGAGTCTTGCTTATTTTGTATAGTGAATGATTTTGAATGTACGTTATGTTTTGCTCTAGTTCCTAAGGCTGAAGCCTGATTTTATTATTTGATGCATTAAAAAATTAATAGTTGTATCCTAGACAGTGGTGGTACACGCCTTTAATCCCAGCACTCTGGAGGTAGAGGCAGGCAAATCTCAGTGAGTTCAAGGTCAAAATGCTTTTTATGAAATAAAAATGCCTAACAGTAGAAGTGATAACAGCACCCAAGTGAACATTGTCTTTATTTTGTTAATGGGTGGCAGCTGATGGGGAGATGGCTGCAGTGAGATGGTGATAGAAATATGGAGAAGCATCTACTGCAAAAACGGAAGAGGAAGACATGTGGTTCAACTTTGCTGCTCACTGCAGTGACTTCTTCAGTGAGAATCCTTCTGGAGATGGTTTAACTTTAATGGCCTTCCAGATCGATGGAACCTGACCTGGTGGAACCTCATACACTCTAATAACTAGGTCAGTTTATTCTCTCTGAGAGACATTGTGCTAATGACCTTCATGCTATTATGTAATCACTTATCAATTTCTTGTTATTAATGGTTATGATTCCATGGAACTCTCTGGGGCAGGATGGCTTTTGTAGATCAAAGGATTCCATTGGAAAATAGTGATAGATCTGTTGAGTGCCTGCTTGGCGATTCTAAGATGACCTTAACTTTTAATAATTTATATTTATTTCTAAAGGCCTAATATTTTCCTTCAATTTTAAGTTACTTCTGAAGTGTTTAGATCTTTGGGTGATTTGGATTTGGGAAGTAGATTGCAACTGTTGCTTACACATTGTGGTCAGAATGTACTGGCTGAACACTACCTTTTTGTGATTAAATGAGATTTCTCTCTTTTCAAGTGCAGGGGAGAAGGGTACCTAGTCCTCTCCTCTTCCTTTTAAATTTATTTATTTTTATGTGCATTTGTGTTTTACCTGCTTGTATGTCTGTGAAGGTGTTGGATCCCCTTGAACTGGAATTGTAGAGTTGTCAGCTGTGGTGGGTGTTGGGAATTGAATCTGGGTCTTCTGGAAGAGCAGCCAGTGCTCCTAACTGCTGAGCCATCTCTCCAGCCCCTCTGCTCCCATTCAAATAAGTGTATCTTGAAAGAGTATGTCTGCTTTTGGAGTGATCCATAGATATTAAACTTCTACTTCATTGAAATCTTCTGGACTACACAGCACTCCTCTGGTCCCCTTGTTCAGCCCATCTTTACATAATCCACTAGGACTAGGGAGATAAGGGAATGGAGATGGGGGCAGCTTAGTTCTGGAGTGCAGTGTCAGGGTCAGTCCGTACAGGAAGAGCTCCTTGCTTGGATCACCCCCCATCAACACCACCAAGAGTTAGAGGGATGAGAGGGGGAGAGAGAAAGAGAGATTGACAGACTTGTTCATGTTCCCCAGGCTGTTGTGAGTGCTTGAGTTTATACTATCCTGGCTCTTCAACTGATTTTATAGCTCATTCTTCAGTTGTGATGGGAAATTTTCTTTCAGGCTGATACTATACAAATTGTTGAAGGGACACCCCCGCATCCTGTGGTTTGTTCTGCCTGCTTATGTTCTTTAATAAAGGGAGGCCTTTTTAGAAGAATTTAATCTGTGATAAAGGATAAAGAATAGAAAGCGAAGCCTTTGCTCTGTCTGGGAAGCTCTGGAGGCAGCTAAGGAGGAACTCAGTGTGCTACTTGATGAATGGGGTTGTGCTGGGAGCGTACTTGTGATTCTCTCTATTTTCGTCTGCTGCTGCCATTGCATGCACCCTGTTTTCTGGAATGTAATCTTTGTCTCTGTGCATCTGAATACTGCATGGTGTGGAAGAGTCCAGGCTCTGGAACCACACAGCCTGGGTTTGAATCATGTCTCTACTGTTTATTAGCAGTAGGATTCTGAGCAAGATATTGAATTTCTCTGTCTTGATTTACTCATCTATTAAGTTGAAAATAGCACCTATTCATGTATATCGTTGTAGAGATTAAATGAGAGTTAGTGTGTCTAAGTGCCTAGACTAGAACACAGAATATACTCAGTACATCCAATAAATATGTTGTTATTGTCTCATCTAGTAGGTGGATAGCCTGCTTCAGATTTGTCTGATGGATCAGTTTGCATGAATAAAGAATGGATTCTAACTGCTTACCATTAAAAAGCTTCTAAATGCCAACTGCCTGAATGCTTTGAATTGTTAAATATGTAAATCTATTGAGTGACCACAGACACTGTTTTTGCGCAAATGATGGTTTGCTCTTTAAAAAGCTGTCAATTACTGATGTACCAGACTTCCTATATACTTGTAAGCCTTCTCCATGTGGACAGTCTGGTTTGGGGGCTTTGTTAAATCTAGGCTATCAAAATTTGGATTAATTAAACCCCCCCTGAAGATTTTAACCTTTAGCTGATGTTGGAGTAGTAAGTGTTTTCTCTGTTCCATTTACCTCTGTGGTGTTGGGTAAACTGGCCAAGTGCCCTGGAGTCCTTCAGTAGCACGGCGGCCATGTGGGTGTGGCTAGACCCAAGCATTGTTCCCAGTTCCATAACTCATGGTGAAATCTCAATAATCATCTTGCTCTCTTTTTAAAATAGAATGCCACCTGCTTACCTCTAAATGTATTCTCAGTATTAATGAATTATTCACTTGGATGCTGGCAGTAGAGCCTACTCTGAACATGTCAGTTACTTATCTATTGTGACAAACACCACGACCAATGCAACTTACGGAAGAAAATATTTACAGGGCTGAGTTCAGAGGGTGAGTCGGTAGCCATCATGGTAGATTGTGTGGAAGCAGGCAGGCAGGGTCAGTACTGAAGTGAGCTTACATCCTTATCTGCAAAGAGGAGGCAGAGAGCTAATGGGGAATAATTTTGGCTTTTGAAACCTCAAGGCTACCCCTTGTGACACACCTCCTCCAACAAGGCCACACCTCCTAATTCTTTCCAAATAGTTTCACCAAACAGGGACCAAGCATTCAAATAGATGAGTCTCTGTGGGCCATTTCTTCAAACCACTACACTGATCCTAATTCTCATTGCCATTTACGGGAAGCTACAGCATAGGGTAGGGGTGGGTAAAGTAGAAAGAAGTGGGAGAAGTAGACTAGCCAGCTGTAGGGCATATTCCTTCCTAGCCGGAGGATTTTAACCCCACACTTCTATTTCACTTTTAGAAATATCATTGAGCTAAATGTGTGAGCTATTTGTTCTCTCTCTCTCTCTCTTTCTCTCTCTCTCTCTCTCTCTCTCTCATTTGAAATCAAGTCGATGGAGTTGGCAAACACTGCTAGTTGAATTATATCCTTAGAGCAATTTGTTATGGTATGGGATTCAAATTTATATTATGCAGGTTCTTGTTTTGTTTTGTTTGAGACAGAATCACTACAAAGTCCTATGCTAGAACTCATGTAGTCCAGGCTGGCCTTGAACTCACAGAGATCCACTTACCTCTGCTTCCCAAGTCTGGGATTAAAGTCTGTGATATTACTTTTGGCTATACTATGTAGTTTAAAAAATATTTTTGTTTATTGTGATTTTCATAAAATGATTTTGAGAACATTCACCCCCTCATTTTTCCCTCAAAGTTCTTTCATATCAACCTTACCTCGCTACCCTTCCCTCAACTTTAGTTTGTGCTGTCTCAATATTCCTGGATGTGGGACCACCATCTTGGTCACTGTTGTCCTACCAGGAGCCAAATACTTAAGAAAGCCGACTTTCCCTCCCCCAGAAGTCATCAGCTGTCCATAGCTCCTCTGTTAGGGGAAAAGGCTTGTGAACGCCTTCTCCGCACTCCATGCTAGACTGTTGCCCGGCTTGGCCTTGGGCAGGTCTTGTGCAGACATCTACAGCTGCTCTGAGTTCATGAGTGCATGATCCTTTCCTGTCCAGAAGACAGTTTTGCTCTGGTTTTCTCTGATGCCTTACTTTAGAATCTTATTTTTTTTCCCTCAGGGAGTCAGGCTTGGTAATAAGCATATTTAACTGCTTAACTATCTTGCCACCACCTCCGCCCCCCCCCCTTAGATAGTAGAGTCTCATGTAGCCCATGCTGGCTTCAGGCATGAGGATGCTTTTGAACTCTCGATCCCTCTATTGTCCTAAGTGCAGGGATTGCAGGCCAGTGTTAGCGCTTGTGAGTTCATGCAGTGTTGGGGATTGAAGCAAGGACTAGTGTACGCTTCGCAAGTGCGCTACCAAACTGAGCTATATCCGCTAGCCCCTAATTCGCTGTATGTTTGAAAAGAGAACAGATGTCTATTCTGAAAACACTTAACTATTTTAAAATTTTATTTATTAATTTTACTAATAAATATAGCACACATGTAGGGCTCTGAAGACAACTTGTAAAGTAGGCATTCTCCTTCCATTATGTGGGTTCCGGGGATTAAACTAAGATTGTCAGGTTTGTGGAAAATGCCTTTCCCTGACTAGCCATTTTGCTGGCCCTCCGAGGACATTTTAATAAAGATGTAAGTGGGTTTTTCTCACTGCTCAAGAAGAACATGGGTCAAAAGATAAAGACTTCAGTGAAATTTGTTCTTATATTACCACTTCTGATGTGCTCTTTTTGTGTGTGCATGTGGAGACCATAGGTCAGCTTTGAGTATGTTCCTCAGAAGCCATTCACTTTAGTTTTCGATACAGAGTCTCTCCCAGGGACCTGGGGCTTACTTACCAGCTAGGTAGGCTAGCTGGCTAGCAAGGCCCAGGGACATTGCTGCTCTCTGCTGCCTCAGTTAGCGGTTACAGATGTGCATTCCCATGCCTACCAACTTTCCTGTGACTGTGGGGGTTAAACCTGGGTCCTCATGCATGTGCAAGCACTTTACCAACTGAGCTATTTCCCTGCGTTGGCATACTTGTTCGCATTATTTCATTTTGTTGTTTTTCCGTGTTTATTTCACAAATCAAATTCATATAGCCCAAACCTGAATCAAACAAAAACAGAAGAAACTGAAAGGAAAACTCACATATAGCCATTGCTTTAAACAACAAAGATGTCAACATGAAAAGAATAGACTGGCATTTCTGCTCTAAAGTCTTTTGGTAAATGAATTTAAATTAACCCAAAACTGGTAGCTTTACTTTATAAGGGAAAGCTTGGCCTTTCTCAGTGATTTTAGATATTAAGGATATTGGCATTGGGGTGTTTTTGGCTAAATTTTATATTAACCTGCAGGTGGCTCTTGGGATCTAGTCAGTTGCAGAATAGCAAATGCAGTCACTTGTGTGGGTCTCTGGTGGGGTGCTTACGGTGTCTCCTGCCTGTGTATATGCTAACAAGAATACTGTTGTCTTGTTCTTTTGAGTTCGCTTTTGACGTAACTTTCTCAGAGAATTCTTGTTGCCTGGAATTGATGACAGACTTACACCATTTCCTCTTTTTTTCTCAGACGTTCCAACCTCAGAGCAGCCTGAACTGTTCCTAAAGAAACTTCAGCAGTGCTGTGTCATTTTTGACTTCATGGACACGCTATCTGATCTAAAAATGAAAGAATACAAGCGCTCCACTCTTAATGAACTGGTGGACTACATTACAATAAGCAGAGGCTGTCTGACAGAGCAGACTTACCCTGAAGTAGTTAGAATGGTGAGTTGCTTTTTTCGCCGCTGACACTCTTAAGCATCTTCCATAGCCACTCATGGGTGTATTGATTGCAGTGAGGTCACCGAGGTCTCTTCCACAAACAAAGGCCAACCTCCTGAGAGCTAAATGCAAGCACAGCACTAGGATTTGAAGAGCATGATTTCATGGTGATGAAACCCAGACCATCTCACCGACTGCAGCACGGAAGGAGTGACCTCAGAGTGTGAAGCTGAGGCCAGTGTGCCTTGGATCTCCGCAAAGACATGGGAGAGAGAATCAACCAGTTTTAGATCTGTTTGAAAATATTCAAGCCTGTTGAGTATCTTAACTCCTGCCACCCTTTCATTGTGGCATATTAGAAATGGCATTATACCTAAAAAAAAATGTGATTTAGAGAATCTAGTTAAGGCCTCTCTCGGCTTTATGATGAATCCCGCTCTCTGTAATTCCCTTGAAGTCAGGAGTGATGCCTTTCATGATGTTAGAACACTGGCACTCTGTGTGCTCCTTAGGAATTACAGGAAGAAACATTTGTATAATGCAAACAATTATATTTTGACTGTGTTATTAATTACATTAGCTTTTTAAAAATCAAGCCAAAATTTGACTGTTAGGTTTCTGTGGTGTGGTTGCCCTCCTTAGCATCTGAGAAGATTGTGAATTGAGAGGTTATTGTTTTAGGAGGAATGGAGAAGGCTGGTAACTTGATTCATGCAGTGTAGCTGCAGAGGCTCGAAAGGGCCTGAGCATCATTGGGAAGCCCACTAGAGGAACAGGCATGTGGAATGCCTGCTCAGCATTGGGAGGGACTTTCAAAGATGAGCATGTGATAGTGATTGGTATGTGACAACTATATAGATCTGAGGGGGAATGGGAAAGAAATATATATGAGACATTAAATATATATGAGTTGGATTTGTTATTAATTTACAGTAATATGTTATCAAGAGTGTTTTGTAAATTAGCTGTTACTGTTGTTGCTTTTTAGCAAAGAACACTTACACCTCACAGGGGACTTTTGGCAATGTCCAGAGCCATGTTTGGTAGTCACAGCTTATGAGAAGAGAGTAATTCCACCATCTGCTAGGTAGAGGCCACAAATACGATGCTGAGCATATTAAAAGAGGGAAGAAAGCCCACACGAGAAAGGTTGGTCTAGTCTCAGATCCCACCAGTTACACTGTTGGGCAGTCCTTTGCAAAACTCCCAGCCAGACACTGCAGAGTGTGCACTCTTGGTGTGAGCTTACCTGTGTGTTCAGAGACACTCAGCTTATAACTTTGTTCTGTGACTTTCTGCAGCTAGCTCATGAGAACAGAAGCATATGCCGATGGGTTTGCACAAATACTTGTGTAAACACACTAATGATGTGCTGCACGACTTTGTGTGCATTCCTTCTTTCACTTAGCAGTTTATCAGTACATGTAAAGCCACACTGTTCTATAGCTACCTGGTATTTCAGTGTATGAATATACTGTGTTTAATTAGCAGTTTATCCTTTTAAAAGGATACGTGTATGTTGAGTGATTTTTTTTTTTTTAAAGATTGTAGGCTTTTATTTTTATGTAGACAGCAAAATTGAAAGTGCGGAGATTTCCCATTTGCCCCCATCGCCACTCGTGTGGCCTTTGCTATCACCATCCCAAATGGCACATTTGTTATAATAGGTAGTTACACTGGTACACTGGAATCAACCAGATTACAGTGCTTGGGTCTGTGCCTTCTTTGGGTTTGGATAAAAGTCCAGTGACATGAATGGGCCATTACAGTATCACATAGCAGCTTCATGCTGCCATTGCTCTCTTAAGAACCGCTGACCTTGTTACTGTTACTGTCTTCATAGTTCTGCTTTTTGAATCGGGAAGGTGCCCTTTTCAGATTGCCTTTTTTCCCTTAGTAGAGTTTTTGGTTTCCTCTATGCCTTTTCATTGTTGTTTTAATTTTTGAGGTGGGTTAAATATAGTAGCATAGGTTGACCTGGAAGCTGCTCTGTGGCCTGGGCTGGTCTTAAGCTCTCAACAGCCCTGCATCAGTCTCCCTAGGGCTGGAATTAGAGTGTGAACCATCACACACGGCCAGCTAGTTCTTCTCCGTGCAGTTATATCCCATGTGTGCCTCAGCCAGTCTTTTCATTCACCTACGGAGTACCTTGGTTTCAAACCCATTTTGGCAGTTACAAGTAAAGTACCTCTGGAAATCCGCGTGTTTGTGTGGAGCGTACATTTTCAGATCCTTTGGGTAGACAGTCTATTGTTTCATGTCCTTCATTCCCATCTCCTTTAAACCATTTATATTGCTTTAAGACATTCTTGAGCCCTGCTTTAGGGAGCTTTGAATAGGTTTCATGCATACTGTTCTAGAGCACTTCAAAGTCACTTTGTGTAGGGTTCTCAGATGTGTATTATCTTTTCATATATAATTTGTAGAATTTGTTAACAGCTAATTTGCTATGGCATTTATGCAATTTGGAATATTTATAGATAAGAAGTTCTTATGATAGAATAGAAAGTAAGCCCTCTTGAGTTCAAGGGCCACCTTACTTTATGTCTGAGAATTGCTTCTCTTTGGGGTCCTCAGTTTTCATATGGTACTGAGAAGTCTGCTTAAATAAATGACTGTGCCGTGTGTACATTGGCATTCTCAGAACTTCAGTGTGTGTGTACAGGCTGACAGTGTGCTTACTGCCTTCTTTTGTAAGAAGGCTTGGAACCAAAAGTCATTTTGGTTGTCTGTCCCCACCTTTAACGTTCTTGTGTGCAGAGATTCTGTAACTGCTTATCTCCCTGTGTCATGCCTCTCTTGGGGTGGGGATCATGAAGTTTATCAATAAAGTGTGTAAATCTCTTAGACTAGTCCCTATCACATGGCAGAATATTTAGTAAATAGCATTTGTTTTCTTTTCTGAGACAGGGTTTCTCTGTTTAACTCTGGCTGTCCTGGAAAACTCCCTCTGTAGATTGTCCTCAAACTCACAGAGATCCACCCGTACCTGTCTCCCTAGTGCTGATATTAAAGGCGTGCATTATCACTAGTAAATAACATTATTGTGTTTTGCTATTAGATACTTGAATATGCATGACCCCTGTTTATAGATTTTACGTTCTCTATCAGCTGGATGTATTCTGTTCCATTGCCTTAATTTCTCTCAATTTCTGTAGCTCCAATATGATCCTGCCTGGGGAGTAGTCACCTGCCCCTACATGCTCCTCTTTCTTGTGATTGTGAAATGAAACCACTTCCTGGATAAGGAAGTCGTAGTGTTTTTAATGAAATGCTAGCTGGGTTTTGAAAACCAGGATGAGTAATGAGTCAGGATGACATGGCATGCTGTCACCCTTAATACCCAAAGCTGATCCAACCTGTTGGGACCTATACTTGGAGAGTTGGTTTTCTTATAAGGGGCAAATGAAGTAGAAAAGAAGGTATGAATTTGGGAAGCCACTTTTATCATACAAATGAAGTCTGGGCACCACCCACAGGCTACTAGAATGAAAGAAAACATTTTATATGTAAATATAGTCAACAGCATATCATGCAGCCTACCATCAGGGCAAGAGTGGTTATAGAGGGCAGAGTCCCAGGGAGAACACGTGGAAGCTGTTGCCCGTATTTCTCATCTTAACTAGTGACGAATCTTTGGTAACTCATTTTTCTCCCAAGCTTCAGTTTCTTCTCTTCTTAGTGAAGGGAGCTGATATCTCAGATCCTTCCAGTTCTGAAACGGATGACTTTTGACCGACACTGTCCAAGTCATTTAGAATGGCTTTCTCAAGGGTTACTAGTCACTTCCCAGAGTAGCTGCTCACTTAGGTAAGTGGTTTCTTTTGTATTTTTGTGGTGTCTTCTCTAATGGAAAAAGGTATCAGGACCTTTTGTTACTTTAGGCCTTGTTATATTGTACGCTACATTCTCTCTAGGGTCATATATTTTTATGGCATATTTTCTTTGAGTTACCTTCTATTTATAATGTCTTTTGGTTTTGTCACATGTATCCATTTGAAATATTTCTTAGAATTCTTATTGTCTTCTAATAGCCTATTCATTTTTATTTATCTAAATTTGGTCTCTCTCTCTCTCTCTGTATTTTTTGTTCTGTTTTTTGGTTTTTCGAGACAGAGTTTTTCTGTGTGATAGCTCTAGCTGTCCTGGAATTAGCTCTGTAGACCAGGCTGGGCTTGAACTCACAGAGATCTGCCTGCCATTGGCTCCTGAGTGCTGGGGTTAAAGGCGTGCACCACCACTGCCCTGCTGAACTATGTAGATTTTATATCTATATTTGTATTTGCATATCTTTTCTAAAAAATACTTCATTTGAGGGTACTCCAAATGTGAGATATAGTCTCATTGGTAAAAGCATTGGCTTTGTTAGTTCTAGGTAGTATTTATTGAATGATTTAATACTATGCTTTTACTTAAAAAAAAAATGGTGGTGTTGAGTGTCAAGCCCAGGACATTATATATTCTAGGCAAACATCACAACACTATATAGTGGCATTTCATTTGTATTTTAATAAAGAAAGCTTGCCTGAAGATCAGAGAATAAAACAGCCCCACTGATTAGCCTTACAGACCAGGCAGTGGTGACACACACCTTTAATCCCAGTAGCCACACTAGTTTGCCATAGAAACCAAGAGGTGTATGCCTTCAATCCCAGTGATGCACACCTTTAATCCCAGCACTAGAGAGGATTATAAAATGGGAGGAGACAGCTCTCAGTCTTATTCTGAGATTCCTGGAGGCAGAATCGCCAGTTTGGACTGAGGTCAAGGTAAGAGCCAGTGACTGGCTGCTTTTGTTTTTCCAATCTTTAGGTTGAACCCCAGTGTCAGTCTTTGAGCTTTAATTAATCGTGCTTCAACACTGAGCTATATTCCCAGCCTTTGGTTTGTTTGAGACAGGACCTCAGTATGTAGTGTAGGCTGGCAAGAACTTACTTTGTAGCCTAAGTCAGTCTCACTTTATGATGCCTTAGCTTCTTCCCAAGTGTTGAGATTACGTACAT